TTTTTTTTTCATCACACTGGTGGCACTTTAAACAAAAAAATGAAACTTTAGCTTTTTTTAGGAAATACAATTTAGAAATGCACCGCATGGGTTTCGCTAGCGATTACGATATCTCACTTAATCCATCAACGTTGAACGAATTCGCAAGCACTGTTTACTATGTTCCATACACCATGTTTGGCAATTCTACGGGTACATTTTCAAGTTCAATGTGTCTAAAAATACATCATATCTAAAAAAAATTTCAGTGTCCCTAAAAATACAAAGCGTTTCTTTTTTGTTTTGCTATCTTAATTTAGCTCTTTTTTCTGCTAGCGACTTTCATTTTCGCAAATATCGTTTTCGTCGCATAATTAATCCCCTGTTGTCTTCTTCTATGGCATCCGGTTTTTCCTTTTTCATGCTTTACTTTTCCGTGTCTTACCCTGCTTGCAGTTCTGAATTTGCACCGCATCCATCGTGCTCACAAGGTTCATTTGTGGTGCTCAGTTAAGATGTTCATGAACTGATGGAGAGAAACATCTTGCCTCTTCATTTTATTGCCCTCGTGTTTTTTCATCCCTTCCGGCTCAGCCGTAAAGTCTTCATACTGAATAACTTTTCAAGCTGCTAAAATACTAGTTATTAGTTGCTAAGGCATAAATTATGAAGGAGTATTAGTTCTCTTACAGTATTGCTTTGCCCAGTATCAAGTGTCTTCCAAGCAGTTCTTGACGCCCACTTGTTCAAACTATTTTTTTTGTGATAGCCAGTGAACGAAAAATATGGTTCCCAGGCTTTTTAAAAGCACTCAAAGCATGAAGTTTGAGGTTCAATATCGGCCAATGGAGAAACACTCCATGAATCGCTGCTCAGTGAAACTTTTAATGCGCCGGTTTTGCTAACCGAGCTACACGGCGTCGACAACGTTCTCCGGTAATACATCTGCAGCATTTTTTCAAATCAAAAGCGTTTTTTTTTGAAATGTCTTGGTTGGCGATACAGTTGTGCCTCATTCTCGGTTATTAGTTCTTGTATTTTACATATGCAGATTCAAGTGTTATATGATTTTGGCAATAGCAATTAATTGCGCAATACGCGACCCTAGTTTAATCACCGTCTCACAATGTGTTGCTTATGACTGGCGGCCTTAGTTTTGTTTTAGCAATTCATTTTTCTTCTAAGGAATGACTGACGATCTACTATCGCCCGCTTCCTTTTATTTTTGTTTTATTAAGATTTCCATATTCATTTACGAAAGAAGTTCCATCTGCAACGCCAGTAGCGACGAAAATCATTGTTGTAAATACCATGTTTGCTCCAAAAAATCAGAACTGATAAGTTCAGCGATTTAAAAAAAATATTATCTGAAGAAACTGATATTTTAAAAAAAGATAATTCACAATCTGGCGACCAAAAAACAAAGCATTTGCCTTTTCGCAAGCTAAAAGATTCGTTTTTATTTCCTTCGCAAAAACAGCTACACCTTTATGCTGAGAGATGGCCTGGAAATTCATTTTGGCAAGATTACTTTCATGCATATGCATATGTGTTTCTTAAGCCGGAACCACAAAAACATGGAAAGTTAAATCTCACGAACAAAATTCTCGACAGCGCACAAAACTGCCAAGCTGGGAATCAGTTTACTAGGCCTTGGATCTTTGACTTCAATTTCGGAAAAATTTTATAATTTCGAAAAAAGAGATTTCGAGCTCGCTGAATAAAAGCTGAAAAAAAAAGAAAACTAGAACCTGATTTCAGAGAACATGCTCTGATCGTTTATCATAAACTCAAACTTTCTTAATTTTCAGCAAAAAAATCTCTAAATACGCATGATGCCATGAATACGAACCAAATCATTGTCCCCCCACCCCCTGCGTCTTATTTTGCCACCACACAACTAATACGTAACAATTTTCTGTCTCAGGGCGAACAAATTTGCAAACTCAAGATTCTGAGAGTTTTGATTAATTGCATACTGCCTCCTACTAGTTAAGAAATAACTACTTCATACTTATAACTTTAAGGTAAGGTATTCGACATGCATAAGTACATTCCATTTTGGACTGTGGAAGTCTTCCATTTATTGGCGCAGTTCAGGGTAATGTATAATTTAGCTGACTGATTCACTGATTTTCGTTTTTGCCGTGCAGCTCTAGAGCGCTGCAGCAGGCAGCAAAAACGCATATTGGAAAGACTCTGTCAGTGTGCGTGTGTATTTTTATGCGTTTTTGCCTATATGCAAATTGCAAAAACGCATATTGGGACGACCCTGTCTG